AGCACTCTGGGAGGCCGAGGCGGGTGGATTGCTCAAGGTCAGGAGTTCAAAACCAGCCGAGCAACGACGTCTCCACTAAAAATAGAAAGAAATTAATTGACAACTAAAATATATATACAAAAAAAAATTAGCCGGGCATAGTGGCGCATGCCTGTATCCAGCTACTCGGGAGGCTGAGACAGGAGGATCGCCTGAGCCAGGAGTTTGAGGTTGCTGTGAGCTAGCTGACACCACGGCACTCACCTCTAGCCTGGGCAACAAAGTGAGACTCTGTCTCAAAAAAAAACCAAAAAAAAAACCAGTGTGTTGAAAAGATATCTGCACACCCATGTATACTGCAGCACTATTCACAATAGCCAAGATATGGAATCAACCTAAGTGTCCATCAATATATGAATGGATAAAGAAAATATGGCATATATACACAATGAAATACTATCCAGCCATTAAAAAAACAGTGAGAATACTTTCATTTTCAGCAACATGGATGAACCTAGAGGACATTATGTTAAGTGAAATAAGTCAGGCACAGAAATACAAATATCACATCATCTCACTCATATGTGGAATCTAAAAAAACTGATCTCATAGAAGTAGAGAGTAAAAATAGTGGTTACCAGAGGCTGGGGAGTGGTAGGGGTTGGGGGAAGATGGGGAGAGGATGGTTAAGGGGTACAAAGGTACAGTTAGATAGGAGGAATAAGTTTTAGGGTTCTATTGCATAGTAGGGTAATTATGGTTAACAGTGTTATATTGTACATTATAAAATAGCTAGAAGAAAGGATTTGTGAATGTTTCCACCACAAAGAAATGATAAATGTATGAGGGGATGGATATGCTAAATATCCTGATTTGATCATTACACAATGTCTACATGTACTGAAACATACATGTATAATGATTATGTGTCAATAAATAAAAAAGCCCCCAAGCTATCAAGTCCTTCAAAACACATGCTCAACTATTTCCCAAACCACCTCAAGAAAAAAACAAACTCCACAAAATCTATACCTATCCACCCACCAATAACTCAAAAAGAAAGAAAATGAAATAAAGCAAAACCCTTCAACACTTTTGTGTTGTGGTTAAAAACTATAATCTTTCTGGAAAAAAAAGCTAGAGTACAGAAGTAAACAGTGCTTCCTAGAAATGGGCTAATTCCAGCTCCAGTTCCAAAAATTCACTAGTTGGGCATGATTTGCTGAGAGCTGCCTTTCTCTCTTCATGTTTTACAAAGAAAAAAGGGCGGAGGTGGAAAGAGTACCAGCTGCATCTCTTCATATGAGTAACAGAAGAACAGAGAGAAGTCTTAGTAACCTTTTACTTCAGGGGCTGAAAATTTAATCCTGCCTCTGCATGCCTGATGTTTGCCTATTTATTAGTATACAACAATCATCGCATTGTTGCATGACTGAGAAAGAGAAACTGGACCGGTATTTTAAAAGTGACAAGATTTCTGTTGCACTGAGCAATCCCAGAAGATACTCTCTTAATCTTAATATAAAATGTGTCAGATCTACATTCCTGAATAGAAAAAGGTACTAATATATAAAGCATGTAACAGCTCTAAGAGGCCTTTTTTCCCCAGTCAAATTTGAAATAAAAGACTTGAAGATCCAAAGTTACATTAATGCAAATATCTGCCTGTTGCAAGTATACTTTTTGATTAAATTGGCATACATCAAGTACAATTAGAAAGGTTATTTATAACGAAGAAATACATAATTCTGCATCTTAATGGGGATGACAATTACAGCTGATGGTTGCTAATTAACATTACTTCTTTTGCTTTGGGTGTTAGGTACTTCCTATACAGTTTTATTGTTGGCAATGGACACATCTAATTCTGGAAGGCACAAAAGGGTTAATTATCAGTAACATTTGCGCTCATAACACATTCATTTGAGAAGCAAATGGTATCCTTCCCAGCTCTGGCTTCACATTGGAGACCAGAGAATCAAGTAGAATTGGTAAACTCTGATTCAGTCTCATGGCAGGAAAGGCATTTATTCAACTTTCTTCAGAGCCAAGCCTCACCTACCCACCAGGTGTTCAGAATGTCAGGGAGAAAGCCCCTCCAGTCCTCTCTCCAGGTGAGTGGTCTGTGGGGTGATGCCTGTTTTGACCAAGCAGAAATGAATGGCACGTTTTAGTTTGGTCCCACCACCTTCTTATGCCAAGATGACTGCTGTGCTTACTCTCGTGGGCAGCTCAGGGGTGTGTGATCAGTGTTGGAAGCCAGAAGTGAAATGGAGAGAAAGAAGCACTGCAGCTCTCAGCACAGAAAACTGTAATGCCCTCTTTGCTTGTGTTGTAAATTACATATTTATTTTGTTAGTGTGAGATAGATGAATATTTCTACATACAAAGGTGCCCAGCTAAAATCAGGATAAGTGATATTAATGTCTTATGGTCAGTATTATTGAACCTCGAAAGCAATAAACTTTATGAGTCGATAAATATTACATTTGCAACATAGTTAACATTCCTTTACTGTCTCTAGCACTTATTACACATTGTAACTGCAAGTCTACAATACATTATTCATATTTAGGGTGTCACCAAGTGATGGATTGCTGTAGGAGAGGCTGTCCTTTAAATAAATCAACAAATAAAAATGCAAATGTTAACATTTTCAGCCACAACTTTTTCCATCTTGAATGGGGAATGAAAATTTCACATTATATTGACAGCCAGCAGAGAGAACAATTAACAACCTACATTGTGAATGAGAAAGATGACTTTGCCACGCCTGTTTTTTTCACCTGCACATGGAAAGATATGGGACTCTTCTAGGTATTTTCAGAGAACAAAGGAAAACCTGACCCCCTAACCCCCAACTCCCCTCTACTATTTGTCCCATTTTTTGCAAGTCTTAAAAATTCTTGGAATTCAGGGTGGACAGGGGAAGGACTTTTACTCCTGTTCTTTTCATTACTTTCAAAGGTTTGCTGAGATGAAAAACAAAAGGCTTTTCTCTTGCATCAAGAGTTTGCATGTAACTGAAAAGTAGTCTATAAAAATGCCTTTTCTATACTTTGAAATAAAAACAATTCAAATAATACTGATTCTGATATCTGAAAGCAACCACCATGCCTTCCTGGTAACTGATTTTCATAGTACCACATCTTTTTTCAACTCTGCACTTTGTATAATAGTGCCATTGAGCACTTCTAAGGATAAAATCTGGTGTGCTACACATTGTTTTATTAAACCAAATGCTCATTTCTTAAGAAGCTTCTGAGAATGTATTAATATATTTAGCTGATCAGCAGTATTAAGGACTAACAGATAAAGAATCCTTTTTAAAAGGTCTGTAAATATGAGTCTTCACAGCAATTTTAACCTGTGCTTGTAAAACTCTACAAAGTTGATATGGTCCATTCAGAAAAAGTGTGCTGAGGATGTATTACAAAACCCTTACTGAGGAAACATTTTATTCCTCTTTCTCATGCTTTCCTCTAAACTGAAATGCAACCATCAAAAACATATTAAAGAGGTGTTAAAAATCTCATTTTAGTCTTCAGCAACAGGAAAATTCACTAAGATTGAAAAATCTGGATAACTCCCCTTTTTACCTTTAACTACTCCCTCCAAATGAATCCCTCAAGGTGAACTAAGGTGGAAACTCTTTGAGCACAAGCTTTAAGCCACAAGGTTAAGTGGTCCAAGAGACAGCCCCATCAACATTTCAGAATCACTACTCATTTGTGAGTCTTTGGCAAAATGCCAACAATAGTAGCATCAAAATAAAAGAAAGGAACAATAGAGAAAGAATGTGACAAACCAGTTAAATTCTCTTTTGATTGTCAGTGGCCTCCAAAATAGGGAATTTGTCATTGTCAACTATTACAGTATTTAAGGTTATGACCTTAAGAGTTTGAAATGCTGACTGCCTCTTAATAGCTATGTGACCTCAGACAAGGCATTCAAGTTCTCTGTGCCTTAGTTTCCAAATTTTTGAGATGGAGATGATAGTACCAGTTCATAAGGTGGTAAAGATTAAATTAGATAATGCATATAAAGGGCTTGGCACAATGCTTGGCACATATTAGATACTTAATATATGACAGGCATCATTATTATCCTCTGTGCTAGAGTCATTTCTCAAAAGTACTTTAAGATGCTTATCCTTCTGGCTCCAGAATTACAGGAAAAACAATAAGAGCCACAACAGAATGAACACTGGTTCTTAAGGATGCCCAGGTTTGGCTTCTGTGGGACAGTATATCTATAGGCACTGGGCTGGAATACAACTCTTTAGAGAAGGATGAGATAATGCTTCTGTTCCTTTTGAAACTATTTCAAACCAGAAGAATACATTTTAGGGGATGTCTTTAAAATCATCAGGCACGAGACCAACAATTTAGGCATTTCTACTTGCAAGCCTATAAACTTTAAAATTACCTACAAATTAAGTATTAAAATCTATATTCATCTGATAAGATGCTAGGAATTTAAGTCATCAAAAACCAATCATATCCCCAAGGAAACATAAACCAAGCTCTTTTGGTATTGATGTTCATATATTCAGCCTTAAGTGTATAATATGGGAGTTTGCTTAATATATATGAGAGATTTTAAATATTAATAACATATTTCTTTCCCTGACTCTAGAAAAGGCTGAATCAAATTATTAACCCCTTCAATGTCTCTGGTGTAAATAAATGTTAGTATTCCTTTATAAATGTATAACTATTCTGTGACAAATTGGGAAAGGTCTTTTGCTATATAGAATTTCTGAAGAAGGATAGGATTAGCTTCGCATTTCTATGGAAACCCTTGTCCATTAAACATGATCAATTAAGGAAGTACACGATGTATAAAGAAAAGGACTCCATGTGGTTTAAGCTGGCCAAATCTAGATGCTTCAAAAATAAGGACTTCTCTTTTGAGTAAAAGCCATTATAACTGTCAAGATTTTTTCATTCCTTAGTAAATAAACCTCCAAAAATTCTCTCATACGAAGAATACTGAACTAAGTAATCCCTGAAGCTTACCGGGAGGTGTTGTGTTGGACTGATGATGGGGCTGTGATCACAAGCTCCTTTTGGCTTCCTGTTGGCATAGGAGATGTGGATGCATCTTTTCTAACTCCTGTTACTGTCCCTGTATGAACAATAAAAAAATAATTTGAGTATTAAATACAAGGAAATGGAAAAGTCCATTCTAAGTAATATATTAGACATTATAGGAATCCCTAAACTTCAAAAGTAGGCCAATTTTTTTGCCCTGAAATGAAACAATGACAGAAGGAAAACTCACTTCAGTTTTGTAAATATCAGAGATCCATAAGGCCTTGTTTTAAAAAGTACATTGGTGCGATAACAGGCTAAGCAGAGATTTTGTTTTTAAACTTGAATGTCTACCATATTCCTATTGATCTGTGTTTACTGTGAAATTGCCCAAGAAGGTAGGTTGTTTTATTTTGTTCCTGTAAGCCATCATAAGAAAAGATTCCAGCATTTTGAACCTCTGATCCCCCAAATCAAATCAATCCTCTTCAAAAAATTTGCAAGGTAGACTTAAATCTTAAAAGTTTCTTTTAAAAAACTCTACACTGGCTAAAACACACATCTTAATTGGAAGATGCTCATCTATTCATTCTAGAGCCACAGGCAAGTTCCTAAGCAATAGTTTATCTTTCCAAAGTAGAGGATGATTTGGCCTCTGTTCCTTTCCAACAGGTAATGTTTAGTTGATAATTACTTTTCTCTTCTGGAGTGCTAAATAAAAAATGGTATAGACAGAAAGAGTTTTTGTTTTATTTTCTATTTATTATTGTTTTCTAAACAAGATAAAATAGCCCTGTCTTATCTTGGAAGATTACAAGAATCCCATTCACAAATTTTCCTCTGGTTCTTGGGAAATTGTTACCCAGGATGCATAAAGAAGTTATTTAGGAAGATCCACTCTTTGAGGAAAGTGTGAGTATTCAAATAACACAAACCCAGCCTTGGATTGGGGGAATACCAGACCCTAAAATTCCAGGAATACAGTATGCTAACTCTGGGAATGGCAATAGTTTAGGTGTGACCAGAGAAAAACAGGCCTTAGGGAAGGCTAGAATCTTACACCTGTAGAGATTAGCATCAAAATGATCACCTTGGTATTTAAAACCTATACTTTTAATATTCACTATTCTCTATTATGTGTAGATGTAAAAGATCAGCTGTCTCAATGCACAATTCAGTCCTCTTTGTATACATAAACCTGTGGGACCCTCAACCCAAACCAGTACATATTCATACTACACATAAACTCCATTCGTCCACAGAGTGCATTTAGTCAGTAAGTATCCACTGAGTACTTAATGATGACAAGGGCCAGAGCCAGGATTAAGCTCAGGCTTAGTTTATGAGGAGGGGAAGGAAGGTGAGAGTAAAGAAATGAGACACTCTTAATGACTCCATTAAAAAAACATAAATAACACAAGGCAGTATAGGGTAATAATAACAGCTATCAGAGTATGCTTAGTATGTGCCAGACACTTTTCTAAGCCTTTTTCATATATATTCTTTTCAAAACTTCATTATTGAAATATAATTTGAATACCATAAAATTTACACATTTCAACTGTACAGTTTGATAAATAGTAGTAAATTTATATAGCTATGAAAAGCATGGCCACAAGCCAGTTTTTTGAAAAAATTTTTATGGAATTTACATATTTATTTTTACAATCTGGTTTTAGAATGTTTCATTACTCCAGAAAGTTCTCTCGTGCTCATTTGCAGGTAATACCTACTCCCTGCCTAGGTTTGGTCCTAGCCCGCTCTAACTCTATTTCTATAGTTTTATCTTTTTTAGAAATTTTTATCCTCATAAAAACCTTTGAGATAGACAATATTTTTATAACGAATTTACAGATACGGAAAATAAACCACAGAGAACTTATGTGGCTTCCCCAGGTCACGGAGCTAGTAAATGATGGAGCCGGCATCCGAGTGCAGATAGTCCCAGAGTTTTCGCCACGTGCTCTACTGCTGTAATAAGTAGTATGAAAAGTTTGTGGAATTAAGAAGTGGGAAAGATCACATTTGGCTATAGAATTAGGGAAGATATGATGTAGGAGGTGAAATTTTGATAGGAAGGAATGAGGAGCCTGGAATGTGTGACAGAGAGACTTGCATTAGCAAAAGCATTAAACTGAAAACTCAGGGCTAAATATTTCATTTAGTCAGGAAATAATTATTGTACATCACTATGCCCTTGTACCTTGCTAATCACTTTAAATCACTTTACATGCATTATTTCATTAATCCCTACAACAATCTTTAAATTATATTATTATACTCACTTTATAGATAAGGAAGTAGAAACTGTGAAAAGGTCAAGCAGCATGTCCAATGTCACACAGCTAGTAAGAAGAAAGTTGAGTTTTGAATGCAATCAAGGTCTGTTTGACTCTGGACTGCAAACTTGTAACTATTATGTTAGATGGCCTCAAAAATAGTCAAAACAGTAACAATACCAATAAAAATCCCAGTTTGGTCTTTGGAGAGGTTAATCTTATGAAGAATTTAGAGTAAAGTGGAACAGACTGGAAGCAGGTAAAGCAGTTGACTGCTAATACAACGGTGTGGCAGAATGCTGGGCGATGGAAGAGGAACCTATGCTGAACAAATAGTACCGTGTTTCCCCGAAAATAAGATCTACCCATAAAATAAGCCCTAGCAGGATTTCTAAGCATTTGCATAATATGAACCCTACCCCGAAAATAAGACCTAGTGATGGGCGTGGCTATGCAGCGTATCTGCACAACCCATGCATTTCGTCAAGGAACGGTAAGGAAGACGAATAGCCCTTCTCATCTGCCCCATGAAAGCTCTATTGCTCAGTATGAGTGATTGGGGCCAATGGTTCTAAAGGCAATAGAGTCACAAGAAATTCAGGATGGAATTCGGGGTTTGGAGAGTTATGATGATGTTCCAGAAGAAGACAACTTAACTATATTTGAATAAATGTAGATTGTTGTACCATACTTAAAAAAAATAACACATACCCTGAAAATTAGCCCTAGGGTGTCTTCTTGAGGAAAAATAAATATATGACCCTGTCTTATTTTTGGGGAAACACAGTTGAAACACTGACAGGGACTTGTGGGTGAGGTGAGGGAAAGAAGAAATCCCTGGTGGTGACAGAATATAAGTTACTTTTCAGTTACTACCACAAAAGACCTGAACATTAGTTTTATTTTTCTGTTTTGATACTTCCATCAAAAGTTTGGTTGAGACAACTGACATGTGTTGGGGACAATTTAAGTAAGGAATTTTAACAGCCGGTCCAGGGACTTTTATAATCCACGGATGCATGGATGTACTTCAGGATTGTGTGAATCCCTCCTAATTGTAGGCACAATGTGTATATATATGCTCATTCATTTTTCTGAGGAAAGGGACCATAGTTTCCACCATCTGAAAGGGTACGTATGGGACCCAAAAGGGTAAGAATGTTTGCTCTAAGGCATAAGTCAAGTTTAACTATCCCTTGTTCCTAATTCTCTAAGCTCTATTCCTTATTAAATTTCCAGAAAGCTATATATCAGCTTTGAATTATATTTGTTCCTTTTTATTTAATATTAAATATACCAGCAATTACATGTAGTTACGCATATTTATGGAACTATATATCCTCATATATTTACACACACACAATAATAATATATACCTTAAAAAATAAAAGTGCAGGTTAGAATGTTATTAAGCTAACCAATTTCATATATAAAAGTGTATGTTTACACATATATATGTGAATGTATTTATATAAACAAACATGCACATGTATTTCCATACACAGATGAAATGAACAGAATGGATCATGTCCTATTTATATATAGCTGGGTCTATATCTGCCTATCCATCAATCAATACCTCAAAAGATAATTTCTTTCTTAGAGCTCAATATTTAGGAAAACTGTTTCTAGACCCTTTGTTTTATTTTGCATTTAAAAACAGCTGAGCTATATTATCTATTCAGTTTAAAGAATAAATTATAAAGAAACCCCCAGTGTAACCCCTTCCCAGATCAAGAAATAAAGCCCTGGCAGCAATGCCACCCAGACACGTCACCAATATCCATTTCTAGTCACAACTCCTTCTCACCTCCAGGAGCCAGCCACTCTTCTCATAGTTATTTCCTTTCTATTCTTTATAGTTCTACCATTTATATATTTGGTTAAAAATGTGATTTAGTTTTGCTGCTTTTGAACATTATAAAAATAGAAATATACCATATATATTCTTTTTCAGACTTCTTTTTCTCAATATGATGTCGAGATTTGTCTATGTTTATGATTTATGTAGGTTCAGTTTGTTTTCTTTGCTATGTATTATTCCATTGTATGCATTTATGACTTTTTATACATCCTGCTATTGATAGACATTTGGAGTATTTCTGGTTTGAGGCTACCAGGAAGAATGCTGCTGTGGTAGAGCCTATTCGTTATCACCAAGATGCTCTCTTTCCTTCTTCCTGGGTACACAGCTAGATTATATTCCCCAATCCTCCTTGTAATTATGTGTGGTTAGGTAAAACACCAGTGGACATTATATCTGTACTCTTCCATACCTTTCCTCCTCCTTGCTGACCTACTATGGCAGGGCCAACAATTTCCTAAAGGGTCAGATGGTAAATATATTAGGTTTTGTGAGCCCTACAGCTTCTTTTGCAACTCTGCTGTTGTAGCACGAAAGCAGCCACACACACTATATAAACTAATGGACATGGCTATGTCCCAATTTAAAATTTTATTCACAAAAACAGGCAGTGGGCCAGATTTGGCCAGTGGACGAGGTTTGCTGACCCTCGTGTTATTGCAATGCCCGAGGTGATGTTGGAAGGCAGGTAAAGATAGCAGAGCCATCATTCATTGGAGCAGAACTACTGCCAATCTGAACCCCACCCAGGACTGTCACAGGTGAAAGAGAAACTTCTTGTTCTTTAAGCCACTGATTTTTTTTTTTTTTTTTTTGAGACATAGTCTCACTCTGTTGCCTGGGCTAGAGTGCAGTAGTAACTCACTGCAACCTCAAACTCCTGGGCTCAAGTGATCCTCCTGCCTCAGTCTCCCCAAGTACTAGGACTACAGGAACATGCCACTATGCCTG